TCCCCGTGAGTCCCGAAGGCGAAGCCGAGCTGGGGAGGGCAGAGCCGGTCCGGGAACCGACGTTTCCCGCGAGTGAAACCCCTCTAAAGCATCAGCGGTCCGTGCGAGCGGGGCTGACCCTCGGTGGGGACAGCAGGAACAGCAGGGATGCAGCTGAACCTCAGTTGTGCGGGGAGAAGCTTTAAGCACAAACTAGTGAAGACACTTTTCTGCTGAAGACTAGCAAGTCCCCTGTTCGGCCTCAAAAGCATTTATTTTTTTTTTTCCTTCCAGCAAGATCAGGGAACACGCAAGTTACCCAGAGAAAAGCGATTTGTTAAATGCAAACTTCTTCCCACCTCGGGCTAAGGGGAAAACGTAGTGCTGCAGCTTTAGAAATAGACAAGAAACAGGTATTTCTCTGAATGCAGGGCACACTTTATTCTGAAGTCTGCTTGCTCTTGTTCCAGCCTTAGCACAGGGACTGTGTCAGGACATAAGTTACCAAAATAAGTTACAGTAGAAACAATTACAAAGCATTATTTGCTGGGGAAATAACCAACACCTATCTCCCCTGTTTTCCTAGCAGGATATCCTGTTAGCATGGCAGAGTAACTCCTGGCAAAAGCTGCCTCGTTTGCCAGGATCGGAATGGCTGGGAAAGGTTTCATGCATGGAGTTACACACAAACAGAAGATCCCTGAAGTCAGTTATCCAACTAGGAAAGATAATCCCACTGCCAATTGGCACGCTTAAAAGAAAATCCCACCTTGCTAAGTGTTTCTCTAGGAAAGAAAAAGTGTTTGGCTGATCCATAAAGAAAAGTCTCTTTTTGAGAAGCAGCTTCTTGCCCCCCCTGTTCCTGGTCTGCTGCAGGGCTGAGCCTCCCCAGAAGCACAACAGGCAGAAAGGAAGTTGTGTCTGTAACGCATATTTTTAAACTTGTAGAAGGAGGGAAATGGTATCAAAGGTCAGGAGCATCATCCTCTCAAGATCTCTGCAGATTGGATGAATTAAAAACAAATCCAACGTTAAAAATAAGTTGAAACCACTTCTTCTTTCCCACAACTTGTCTCAGCAAGAATTAGCCATTCACACGTACAGCTGGGCTGACTTAAAAAGCTGAATTACAGGTCCCCATCTTCCCTTTCAGTGCAGCAGAATGACTTAAAAAGTAGTAAATCAAGACATGGAATCACCCCACCTTGGTTATCAAGTCTCCTTGCAAACTGCATCTTACTGTAAACACAGCCTGGGACATGGAGAGAGGAGGAGGCACTCTTGGCACGATTGGCAGTTAGACATGCAATTAAAAGACAAAGTGCTGTTCCACCCAGGGAGCCCTGGCCAGGAGAGCTGGAATTTTCAGACATCTTCCTTTGGTGCATTAGTTATCTCCTTTGCAGCCAGCGCCACCTCTGTGTCTTTCTCTGCCTTCTCTTCCAGCACCTCCAGCACTTCACACCCTTCCCCTGGGAGCCTGTTTGCTCCCTTTGGTTCTTTGGGTGCCTTAGCCACCTCCTTCGATGATGTTGGCTTTTCCAACACAAGTGATTTTACATCAGTCACCATATCTTTCTTCTTCTTTCTGCTATGCTGCGATACTTTAGCTATGGCCCTGAAGGGACCCACAAGCCAGTTGAGAGGGGTGTTCTGAGTTACGTACTCAAACAGGTCATCTAGAGACCTTCGGGCTTCTGCCACCCAGCCCTGGCTCTGGGTCAGGGTGCTGCTGGAGAGGTCCTGGAAAGACATAGCATTGGAAAAAGACCTGCGGAGCTTGTGGATGTTTCGAGTGGCCTGATACACAGCTTCCTGGATGTCGCTGGGGAGGCCTTGGATGCTGACTTTCAGATTCTCGTAAACAGGTTGTAGCTGCTGAGTGATGATACGCAGCATAGCTAGAGTCCGTGACTCTACCTGCTGGGAAAGAGAGACAGCTCAGTTACTGGAGCAGATGAGATGTACACCATCCACCAGAGGCCTGATTAAATGCGCCCTTGTAGGGATACCTCTACTTCGGAGGCAGTTTTAACTTGGTTTCCTTTGGGTTGGGTCAGGCTCCAGTCCACCCACAGCTTATGGAGCTTCTCCTGCCCATCCAAGAGCTTCTGGCCAACCTCTTGTTTCACAGATTCAATCTGATGGGAAAAATGAAAGGAAGAGCTGTATTGCAAGCACACACTATCAGAGGAGCAGGAGTGCTTCCCTCTCAGGGAGGGATCCAAGATGACATGCAGCTGGATGGAGGAAGAGCTTCCATCTGGATAGTAGGGCAGGAAGACTACAGACAGGAGGAAAAAGGGAAAAGCGTGTTTGTACCAGTTTTATTGCCAGCTGTAGTCGTGAGAGAGTATCCTGGGTGCTTTGCTTAATGCGCTGCAGTTTGCTGAGGGAGTGCTGGTAGGCTCGGCGTCGGACTTTGTTAGAGAGGGAACCCAGACGCACAAAGTAACTCTGTTGCTGTTTCTGCTCCTCCACAGAAGCCATACCAAATCCCTCCGCAGCAGTGGCCAGTTCACCTGGAGGAAACAAGAACAGAGATGCAGCTGTGCTCCACTCCCCCAGCTGTAAGTGGGAGGAAGAGGTAAGATCACCCATTGAAAAACACGAAGGCTCAAGCTTGCTGTGTAAGCTGTAGGGGTTTGTAGTTGCTCAGATATTAAAGGTTGGCTAGTCCCTGCTCAACATGTTCTCTTCAGATAAGCAGACGTGACAGGTAGGTTGCACCCACGTGTTTATTTGCCTTGAGGCTGATGGGCAAGGACCAGCTAGCAAATGCTTGAACTCTGTCCCATACCATTTGGCAAGTCAGTGTTGACAGACGGCCAGCTTGGTGACAAATTCAGAGCTACCTGTCTGCTTTGGAAGATGAGTCTTGCAGTGTCAGGCGCTCTCTAATCACGTGGGAAAGGATTTGTATTTACAACCGCCAGCTAAGCATTTTCTCACCTAGTTCCTCCTCCGTCATGGGGAGGTAGTGATCCACTAGATCTTCTGACATACCCAGGACAGATTCCACACCACCTGCCACTGCTTGGCTCACTGCCTTGGCTTTGCTGATGCTGTTGGTCACCACCGAATTGGTCATCTCCACACCTTCCTGGATAGCCTCTCTGCTCTGCTCCAAGGTCGTATTTATTTTGCTAGTTATGGTGCCATATGCAGCATCCAGAGCTGTATTGACTGTAGAAGTGACCATTGATTTGGTCTTCTCAACACCATCCTGAACAGCCTCTTTGGTTAGGTCCACTGCTTCAGTCACCTTGTTGGTCACAAGGTCCTTTGCACCCTGGGCAGCCCCTACAGCAGCAGTAATAGTAGAAGCAACTGCAGACTTGGTCAGTTCAACGCTGTCCTCCACAATGTGTTTAGTGAGATCCACTGCCTCTGTCACCTTGTTGGCCACAAGGTCCTTGGCACCCTGGGCGGCCTCTACAGCATTGACAATAGTAGAAGCAACTGCAGACTTGGTCAGTTCAACACTGTCCTCCACAATATGTTTACTAAGGTCCACTGCCTCAGTCACCTTGTTGGTCACAAGGTCCTTTGCACCCTGGGCAGCCCCTACAGCAGCAGTAATAGTAGAAGCAACTGCAGACTTGGTCAGTTCAACACTGTCCTCCACAATATGTTTACTAAGGTCCACTGCCTCAGTCACCTTGTTGGTCACAAGGTCCTTTGCACCCTGGGCAGCCCCTACAGCAGCAGTAATAGTAGAAGCAACTGCAGACTTGGTCAGTCCAACGCTGTCCTCCACCATGTGTTTAGTGAGGTCCACTGCTTCAGTTACCTTGTTAGTCGCAAGGTCCTTGGCACCCTGGGCAGCCTCTACAGCACTGCCAATAGTAGAAGCAACTGCAGACTTGGTCAGTCCAATGCTGTCCTCCACAATGTGTTTAGTGAGGACAATAGTAGAAGCAACTGCAGATTTGGTCAGTCCAATGCTGTCTTCCACAATGTGTTTAGTGAGGTCCACTGCTTCAGTCACCTTGTTAGTCGCAAGGTCCTTGGCACCCTGGGCAGCCTCTACAGCATTGACAATGGTAGAAACAACTGCAGACTTGGTCAGTTCAACACTGTCCTCCACCATGTGTTTAGTGAGGTCCACTGCTTCAGTCACCTTGTTAGTCACAAGGTCCTTGGCACCCTGGGCAGCCTCCACAGCACTGTTAACAGTGGAGGTGACCATTGACCTAGTCAGCTTGACACTGTCCCCAACAACATTTTTAGTGATGTCCACAGCTTCAGCCACTTTATCAGCCATTACTTCTTTTGCCTCACAAGCAGCATCCATAGCAGATGTCACTTTGGTGGAAACCAGTTGCTTGGTGTCCGAGATGACCTACAATGGGGAGAAGCAGAGAAAGGTAACAGTTTTTATTTTGCTGAAAGGGTTTTCCCTCCCTGAAATAGGTTTTCCACATGGCTAAGTTGTGCTTGTAGGCTTGTGGGAGAGCTGGGGAGGTCAGTACACCTGTATTTAGATGGATGTGTTCACTTCCACATGCTAAGGCTTATCCCAATCTTTCATCAGCTAGCAGCACCTCCTTCAGCCAGTACCAGGGACTGACCTGACAAAGCAGTGCTGCTCAAGTTTATTTCCCCATATTCTTCTGTACCCATAACAGTTCCACCAAGCAAGAGATCAAGTCATCTTGATCCTCAGGGAAAGCCTTTGCTTTACCTTATCTGCTGGCTGTTGAAGAAAAGGCAAGTTCTCCTCCAGTTGATCCAGTCCTTTACAGGCGTATTCATTTACAAGTGCAACTAGACAAGACAACAAGTACCAGTTTATTCTTCAATTTGGAGAGCGGTTTTTGACCCTACAGTGGCCAATTCAGGCTACACTCATGAAAGCAAGCAAAAAAAAAAAAATCACTGTTCTGGGGTGGTGTGTGTATGTCAAATGTCTTGTTAAAAAGTGAACAAACCTGAGAAATTGGCAGGTTCAAATAGTCTCCGTTTCGCCTTCCCAGCTTCCTAGCTATTGGCAGCACATGGCTCCAACTGGAGCATAATACTTGCCCCTGGTGGGTAGGGCAATTAGCTTAAAGGGTTGAAAAGTGTTGGGATGAGGCAGACTGAGCCATATCCAAGGTGGACACTGCTACTACTGTTTGGGATGCTCATAACTTGGAGTGATAGAGAAAAAGCAGGAAGTTTTTGCTTAGTTACTTAAATACAAGAGGCCAAACTTTGCCTCTGCTAGTAACAGTTTCACGTCAGTGAGATTCAGTTTCATGTCAATGAAATGGGTTCATTGAGAAGCTGGGAGCAGCTGAGTGGGCGCCTCAGTGCTACAAAGAACTAGAACAATGTGCTGTAGGAGAGGGATGTCACCCAACAGGCACATGAAACTCCCCTCCCCACTTATTCCTCCGTGTAGAAGGGGTCACTCCAGCCTCTTCACTTACTTTGTGGCTCAAGTTGGTTCAGGATGGGCTGTGCCCCACCGACCATGCTACCTACTGCGACAGCAGCCACGGTCTCAGCCACATTGCAGACACCACTGAGGCAGGGATGCGTCTCCTTGGCAGAGTTATAAGCAGATGAGACCAGGCTGAATGCAGAGTTGAGCAAGGGCAAGCTGCTCACCCGATTGACAGCACTCTAAAACCCAAGAGAAACAAGTGACATTAGAGACCCACCTCAAGCTGGTGGGCGAATACAAGCCATGTGTCTATCTAGAAAGGTCCTAAGGGGACAGACATCCAGCCCATCTCCTCATCCTTCTTAAACTCAGAGTTGAAGGCACTCATCCAAAGGCTGCTAGCAAGTCAGTGACAAGCCAATATGAAAAGTTCAAGCTCTGGGCTCATGAATTCTGAGTCACGCTGGGTTTCAGCACCAAACCCAGATGTGGAAATAGGAGCTGTGAGAGCTCATGTTCCAGAATTACTTGTATTACTTGAGACAGCCCTGAAGTTTTCTCTTGAATGAAAAAAGTTAACTCCTGTGTTAACTGAGCTTACATTTAGCCACAGCTTTCTATGGTTAATCTTCCTGCCATTCTCAGCCTGGCTTCGAGGTGCTGGCTGAAGTTGGTGTGCCAGTGTATCTGTCAGCGGGCAGTTTAACTGTGGCATGTTAGAGTACTAGCTGCCCTGGCACCTACCGCCTGCTGCTGTTCCTCAGCCTCTGGCAGATCTTTTTTTGTGGTCTTTTCTGATGCCATACTGAATCCAACCACAGCTGAAAGGAAAAACAAGAATATAACAGCATGAGTACAACTTAATTTCCTCCAGTAAATTAAAGTCTTTGCAAAACCGGTGAAAAGCAGAGGGCAAAGTTGGGATCCATCATTCAGCATGTCCTAGGAACGTTAGTGTGGCATCGCTAATCTTTCTTGCAAAGGTGTGAAGATACTTGAGAGGCTCCATGATTCATGATGTGCAAATATTTATGTAGGACAAGGACTGTTCTCAGTCACCTCCCTCAATCCCCCTACAGCCAAAACACTTTAAAGTAAATAACCATCCCACTTATTTTATTGCTGGTAGCATTGACTGGCTTCAGAGTTGCAGGTTAGAAGTGGGTGAGAACTATCTTATCTGTCCTGCATTTTCTCTGCCACAGGTAGTCCTGGTTCAGCTCCCCACTGCACAGGCTCTTTGCTGGCCGAGGACTGGAACGCTTGAAAGATGCATGCACCCTGCAGACATGGGGCTAATGGAGATGGGACAGAGATGCTGACACAGCAATAGCATATTTCACCTTCTCAAAAAGTGGTCAGTGTTTGTAGCCCCTTTCCTCTGAAGTGTTCTTTGCAAAGGACATCAAGATGACAGTCATTTTAGAGTCATCCGACTATGCCTGTGTTCTTAGTGGAGAACGTCTGTCAACTTCCCCACCGCTGCCAACTCCAGCAACGCTGCCAGTCTCACTGCTCTGGGAAAGACAGGAAAATCCTTTGAAGTTTTCGTGGAAGAGGGAGCCAGGCTTCAAAGCCGCAGCGTTCTAGCTGGCTACCTTGAAACTTGCATGCCCATCCTACTGAGCAGCTAGGCAGGAAATCTCGCTTCACTTCCTGTGAAACCAAGTCTCAGAAGCATTCTCGTTACATAATGGGATTGAAGAAATTCAAGTATAAAAATTATGCAATATCTTGAAGATGTATCAGCTTCCCCAGGATAGACCTAGGTTGGTATCTGGACACTCCAGTATCGTGCGATAAATCCAGGATTACTTCTCGGTCTTAGTCAGGCACGGCAGGCATTTCAGCATATTTGTTCTTCAGTGCAGCGTCCGCTTTTCTCTCCCTTGCCAGTTAATTTCTATTCTTAGAATTGCTATGGCATTTTCCAATGGAAAAACCTCCAGACAAACTGGATTCCCAAGGCAAGCGCTGCTCCAGGCTCACTGGCAGCCTCTACCCAAAAAAACTCTTGCCATCTGATTTGTGACAGAGACCATTGTCTTGTTTCTTGTGTTGTTTGACTTGTGTAAGGTTTTTATTTTGCTGTGGAAGCAGGAACAGAGCTGGAGAAGCAGCAGTGAAACAGGCATTCGTTAGCCCCGGACTGACCATGGATGGAGCGAGGGGAGACATGGCAGGATGTCAAATATTGCTGCATTTACTGTGCAAGTGGTCAGCATTTTAGTGCTGTTCAAGCCAGGCAGGGATGCAGAGTGCTCCATGTCTACAGCAAAAGTTGTCACGAAAGTTGAGACCTCCAGCCTCTCAAGTGAGAAGCCCAGAGCCAGTGGTCTTCTGCACGTTCCTGGTAACCACCCTGCCCAGGGGGCTGCCTAATTTAACAGCACAGCAAAAACACAGCTTGAACTTCATCAGCCTGGGAGAACTTCTAGAAAACTGCCCCAAAGGAAAGCAGGGCTCCACAGGCAGTCTCAGTCCCAAAATCCGCAGGGTTTGCTCAGTTAATGGTCATTCCTCTTGCTCTGCTTTGGGGCAAGTTTGTTGTTGGGTTTTTTTGAAGCCAGGTAGGCTGAATCAGGCTGCATCCCTGTCACAGGGCAAAGCACAACTATTTCAACACCATTACAAACAACCCCCATAAGTCAGGAGTAACTCCTTGGCTGATGTAAAAACTAGTATAAGGTTAGAATCAGCCTCTCAAGTACTAGGAGCCCATCTTAATTATGGATGCAACTGTGTCAGCGACAATCCTTGCAGCACACTCGTGTTAGGACATGGTTTGCTCTCCTCTGCGTAGGAGGAATTGGGGTGTGTTGCAACAGCAGTATTTGTGGTGCAGGAAAGTCTTCATGAGCCCACAGCATGGTTTTATTTTCTCTTTCAGAAAGTCTCTCTCCTGCAAAAGTGCTGAGCAGACCTTGTTTTGCTCCAGAGGTTGCAGGAAAGCACAGTGCTTAGCAAGTCTGGGGCAGTCGTTTCAGAATCCTTTGGAGAAAGGCTCAGCTTCAAGCTGGGGTAGTTGTGAGTGGAAGTCCCAACAGGCGGGACCCACCGGGCAGAAGAGCAGAAATAGCATCACCGTTTGCTTTGGTTACAGTTTGCTTTGTATGAAAACGACGATCAGATGGCTTCATACCGTTGCTACATCAGAAATATTAGGTCACTGCTGGAGAAAGTTCCTGAAAGGGGTAGTTTCAGAAAGATGAAACTCTTCAGTGCACATTTTTAGCACAGCAAAATAGTTGAACTGCTGATCATTGCCCAGTTTGGCACAAATCTGAACTCGGTGAAGCAGCAAGGGCATGGCACCAACGCTGCCAAGCTGCTCTTCGTTTTCCCTGCCTCGGCCAGGCTGTCCCTGCCAGCGCAACACACGAGCCTGGCAGAGGAGCAAGAACTTGCCTGTTGGGGCAAGCACCCCCCATTTCTGCTACTCTGACAATGACCAGCGTACGTAAAACTAGTTCTTTAACTCGTGTAAGGTTTTTATTTCTCCTGGGGAAAGCAGCTCTGCCCCAAGAAGCCAGCCTGCTGTCACGTTGTCCTGCAGACAGACGTAGGATCTTTCAGGAAGCTTTTCTCCCTTGCAAATGTATTTTACCTTGGGAAGACAGACTGAGCCCTGGCTAGCATGCCTCGGTCAACAGATTAGCTGGCGATTCCTTAATGATCATTTAGGAAAACAAAGCTAAATTTAGTGCTTTAGATATGAGCAGGGAAGGCTAATCAGGGCAGAGGTATTAATTTGTGGTTAAAGCACTTATTTACATTCTTTTCAAGATTTGTCACTGATACCCCGTTTACCATAAACGCAGCTGGCAGAACTGGGTCACAGGATGTCTGTTGTGGTGGGGAATGGCACTGCCCGCAGCCAAGGGGGTTGTTTGCAAATGCTCCGAGGGCAGAATTAGTTTTAGGAGGAGGATCAGATGATTTTCAGCTTTGACCTTAGGACATCAGTTTCAGAATTGCTGCAGAGGTGCCCGTCTAACCTTTCTGGAAAAGCCATCAGTCTTGGGGAACCTCAAACATTAAAGCCACTTTGCAGAGGGAGGCAGGGTTTTCCCACACACACTTCCAGTAGAAATGAAGCACCACAGCCAGTGGCTATTACTAGGTCAGTAGCTCCTTAAGGCAGTGAGTGTATGAGCTACCCAAGCTACTAGAATTTGGAGATATTTTAGGAAAGAAGAAAGACAGTTTAATTAAAACATCTTCTGGGCTTTCCAGTACTTTCCATGTACCAATTTTTCCATGAGGACAAAGCTCTTTGAGTTTCAGACAGAAGCTGTAAGTTGCAGAGCAAGCAGTGTGCTCCTTACTCTTTAACACGCATTTTCATCTGGAAGTTTCAGCAGAACCAGCTTCAGTAATTGAAGTCCTTCGCAGCCATACACAGTTTCAGGTAGTCATGGCCACACTTAAGAACCCTGTTAGTCTTGAGGAACACGAAGCTAGTTTGCCAAGCGCTCCCTCCAGCCAACTGGCGGAGCCGTGCATGGCTGCAGCCTCCATCTGCAGAGACACGGTGCTCCTGAGCAGAGGAGAAGTTCCCTTGTCACCCAGGCCACCCTCTTTGTTAGCACTATTATCATGCCTGCACCAAACGGTCATGAAGATCATGTGAAATAGCTACAGGCAGGTCTGGCGGCACTGTCAACAGGAAGGGAATGCCCAACCGATCATCTGCCTCCTGAAGCACATTCCGCTTCCCCCAGCGCCAAGGCAAGTCAACGATGATGGCCAAGGGCACGCATCACGCGCCGTCCCTGCGTGGGAGAGCCACCTCCTGCAGAGCCCCTCACGCAGCTTTGATTTCCAGCAGACAATAAGCAGAAAAGAGCTTTCGGACCCAAAGTTGCTCAGTTGCAGAGCGGAGGCGCATAGCGTTACCCGGAGGTCATCACAGGGATAGGAAGGAGCCTTTTGGGAAGGATTTGGAGCCTTCCAGCTCTTCCCCAAGCCAAGCCACAGCAGAAGCAGCACAACACCATGAAACGTCACCTTTGGCCTCAAAAAGCCAAGACACCCCCCACCCACAGCTGGGGGAAGCAGCAGAGACACCACACGCGGCTCCGTGCTTCCTCGAGGAGCTGGAGAAGCTCCGTGGGCGCAGCGGGGGGAACGCAGCCCCCCACCAGGC